TGATGAAGCTACTGACAATAGCGGGTATGGTAGGTGTTGTAATGAAATTGTTTATGTATTTGCTTGAAGCAAGTTGTTTTTGAAGATGTGTGAGTAAAGTTAAGCTGGTTGAGACGAAGATGATCTATTGTCGACTTGTCATAGACGTAATGGTAAAACCTCAAACCGACGAGCTTTGATTGATAAAAGTTATGATAGCCTTACTCTACCTTTAGTGGATAAGGAATAGGGACTAGTGGACTACTGACTTAGGAGCTACAAAGAGCAATCCGGAGCTGATCCTTAAGATTTTAACAAACTAAACTAGTATATGTCGACAAATAGCTATGCCCGGCTATCTCGTGTCCTCGTTGTAAGTTGGGGACCAACTAGATGTTTGCAACTAGTAACTCCTATCCGTCCTAGACAAGTGCACAATAACTCTTAAAGAAAGAATGTGTACCCTGTTTATTAAATGACATATAAATGTTTACGTAGAAGAACGATGAAAAGTGGAAGTCAAAAACCTGCGTCCTTAACAAATTCAATGCATTCGTCTCATCCATTCATCGCATTACATTCTTCCGTCAAAAGGGGCAAAAGTTTAAATGTATAGTGACAACACCTTGCACATTTCAATTTATGCAAAAACTAGCTGTGAACTACTCCGTATGAAATTTTTTCGAACAATTTTTTAATGATATACAAGTACTCCGTAACTATTTATTGACGTGGACAATATTCGGATTATTTAGCATGACTGTATGAGATTGATTTTTATTAATTCGTATATTAGGAAAATGGTTTGATGAAATAAATAAAAGTATAATTGAATATAAGATTTGAATATTATGGAAAATATTTTTTATTGTTTTTTACGACGAACATTTTAGGATATTACGGAGTAATATGTAATCACAAAGTTTTATATGTTGCTGGCCATATCGCAGTCGGGGTTACTTGGTCGGTCAAGGGTTACTCGATAAGGGATCACTCGATCGATAAGGGGTTACTCAGTCAGGGTTACCCGGTCAATGTTTTGTGTTTTGGTGTGTGTCAACTGACCACACGATGTGCCAGCCACACAAGTAATTGTTTAAAGTGTTGGTTGATTGCTTTTTCTTCTTCTTCTTCTTCTTCTTCTTCTTCAAAGATTTACTGATAAAAATCCGTATCTTAGATGTACGGTATAACTTTATAGATTGATTTGATAACAGATACTCCCTCCGTCACAATATATAATTCTTGTTTGTGATTTTTCACGATATTTAAAAAATGGAAAAGAAAGTGAATGAAGTACATTGGAAAAAAGGTAGACAAAAGTACAAGACAAGTGGATAATTTATGGGGAAAAAGTGAAAAGTACAATTATAGATAAAAGTTAGGGAGAGAAAATGGAATAAAATATAAGACAAGTGGATAATTGAAGAGTAAATTAGGAAGTTCAATGAATAAAGTAACAAAAATAAGGGTATAATGGTCTTTACATACTATCCACAAATAGAAATAAAGACAATATTTTAGGTCTCCAAAATAAAAAAACAGAAACTATAATATGAGACGGAAGAAGTATTAATATAATGGTAAAAATAACTCGCAATAGTTCCTTTACCTTTTAGGTTTGAGGTTGAGACTTGAGAGTTTCAACTTCAAGTCTTGGATTAAAATTCTCTTTTTTATGTTAAAGGAGTCCACAAAAGCTAAACCTTACGAGGAAAGGCAAAATATGTACCGTAATATTGTAATTGAGTCAAATAATTGTACGCAGTACTTTTTTTTTTCTTTCTCCTGCAAAGAACTATTTCGACTGTTCCAGGTACATATAAATAAATACACGACTACTCATATAAAATTTACTATTAATTTATGAGATATAAAATATTTAAAAGTTGTAACTAATACTTAACAGAGGTAGTACTATAATTAGCTATTCTAATTGGTTGCAACGTGTAAGATGGACTTCTTTATTAAAATACGACTAGAACGTATTTGTGATACATCAAATTTATAAAGAAAGATGAATGTCTTTTTTTTTTTTTTTCAATAATCGAGTGACTTGTGATTGTATAGTGCATTAGTGTTGGGCCTGAGTTGCAGTTGTATCTTGTATTGTCCAAAAAAAAAGCAGCAAACTCTTAATACGAGTATACAGGAGATTAGGAGGGTAGCAAATCGCCAAATCCGCAAGCGGGGTAAACAGTTGGCCCAATTCTTTAATTTTTTTTTAATTTTTTTTTTAAAAAAAACAACTATAAAATCTCATTGTTCATAGACTGTACCCAACTTGTATAGTGTATAATTATACCCATTTTACCACGTATAAAATACTGATAAAAATCATTACCTTTTCTAAAATTGACACTTTACTTTATATTCGTGAATATTTACTAAGTGTTTAACATCAATTACTTCACGTGAATGTCAATTAGTTTAACACAACACATCCATGCAAAAAAAAAAAAAAAAAATAAATTAGAATTAGTTGGATAAAGTTTTAGGTGTAGTATACCAATACTTAAAACCCGAAATCAAATCTCATCCACATCATTAGCCTTTAAGACTCTTTTAACACCAAAAAAAAAAACCTCATTTTTTTTGTTATAAAGCTTTTAATTATTTTGAGCTCATTTAAGTCATTTTGGAGGCAAATAGTGTATTGATATTTAAAATTATCAAGTAATATAATTCTAAATTATACGGAGTAATAGAATAAAAGAAAAATCTAATAAAATGATTGGGAAACATAGAACCAATAAATGCCTCTAATGAAACTTCACCCCGACAAGTAAATTTGATAATATAATGTTTCTTTCTACCAACTTATATATATAATGTGTGAATGTGTGATGACTTCTATTAAATTTTCTATTTTTAAAGAATAAAGAGTTTAAATTTAATTAAGAACGAAAATTTAAATATATTTTTAGGCAATTTAGTCATTACATTATGACATTATGTAGGTCCACATGTCCATAACTATACAAGGTTTTATTTATTTATTTATTTAAGATTATTATTTATTTATTTAAGATTAATATTTTTATTATCATTATAATAATTGTTATTTTTTAGGCAGCGATTATTATTATTATTATTATTATTATTATTGATTTTGGTGGAATTTATCAGCCATCTCTCATGATTCAACACCCAGCGGTTTGAAGATCCAACGACCAAGTGACAAGTAACCAATTAAAGTTAATTTTTCTTATTTTGTTATTTTTGTAAAAACTTGTATTTATAGTATTATAGTTGAAACTAGTATCATAAATAAAAAAAAAAAAATGTGAAAAAGGCATTAAAACTACAAGCGTTGACGTGTTATAATTAGTATTGTTGGACCACTGAATTAAAGTGAATTCAATCAATTTAGTACCTGATTTTGAGCGTGATTAAAAGTTTAAATAAATACTCCTCCTACCAAACTGAGGTATTCGATTTGAGTACACTACTGCAGAAAAAAAAAAAGCGTTGGTTATTCACATTTATTGGCATATATACAAGTGGACCAATAAATACTTTGAAAAAAACAGGAACCAATTAGAAAATTTTGAAAAACAAATGGACCAATAGAAATTCGATGTTAAGCTCAATGAAATTTCTGGAAGGAAAAGTAAAGATTTCTGCCATATTGATTTACTCCGTATTAAAAGTTAAATTAGAATAAAAAATAATAGTCAATCCACAAATTATGAGTAGGAGACTAGGTGGACATATGCGGATTATTACATATACTCAAGAGCATTTTGTAATGTAGGGTGCTCCCATCAACACGAGGAAGTGGTGTGAACTTCATGTATTGGTGGCAGTCTAGAGGTGTCAATCGGTTTTTTCGGTTTGGTTTTCGGTTCGGTTTATCAGATTTCGATTTGTAACGGATCGGTTTATAACGGGTTTAAATAATTAACGGGTCGGTTCAGTTCGGTTTTAAATAAAATCGGGTCAGTTCGATTTGGGTTTTTTTAACTATGGTTTATATTCGGGTTCGGTTCTAGTCAGATCGGTCTGTAATCGGTTCGGTTCATAATTGGTTCGGGTTGAATTCAACAGTTCGAAAATGGATTTTTTCGGTTTTAAGCGGGTTTCGGGTCAAAACAAATTGGGTCCTAATCGGGTCGGGTTGTAATCGGTTCAGGTCATAATCGGTTCGGGTTAACTTGGTCAGTTTGAAAACGGGGTTTTCCAATTTAAAACGGTTTTCGAGTCAAAACAGATCGGGTCCTAATCGGGTCGGGTTATAATCGGGTCGGGTTATAATCGGTTCCGGTTGAACTCAGTCGATTTAAAACGAGTTTTGGTTCAAAACAACTTGGGTTAAATCCTAACTCACAAAGTCACAATTAATTAATAAGGGTCATAAAACAAGTTGGGTTGATTGAATAGTGAGTTAAACAAATCAAGTGAGTTAGGATATAATTGAGCAGGTTATGAAGAATTGGGTAAAATCCTAACTCACAAAGTCACAATTAATTAATAAGGGTCACAAAACAAGCTGGGTTGATTGAATAGTGAGTTAAACAAATCAAGTGAGTTAGGATATGATTGAGCAGGTTATAAAGAATTGGGTTTAGTAGGTCATATAGTACATATAACAAGTTATGACTCATACATTTATACTCATACACAGAATTCAAATCAAATGACTTAGGTTACGACTCATACACGAATTCAAATTAGATCAAATTAAAATCGAGTTATGAGTTAAACAAGTTAGGTTGAATAGGTAACGAAAATTAGAACAAGTTGAAATTTGGTTTCAGTCATAAATATGCTCGGTTAATTAATATGAGTTAAAAATAAGTTGGGTTAATTGAATAATGAGTTGAAATGAGTCAATTGACTCAAGTCATAATCAAGTCTGGTCATATAGATAATGGATTTATCGGGTCATAAAATATTGAAATGTACGGGTACTAAACATGTCAAAATTGAATAAAGGTTTAAAGACAACATTGATTGAGTAATGAATTAGAACGAATTGAGTTGTAAACTTGTAATTGGTCAGGTTATAAACACGTTATATATTTATAGTAATAATTATAATTTATACTTTAATTTTATTAGTCATAGACTTGAATTTATATTTTGTTTTAACTAGCAAGTTAGTAAGTTACTAATAACAGTAAGCTAGTAATAGTTAGTTAGTTAGTTTGCTATAATCTCTTTAATAGTATTAAATTGAGTTATAATTCATTAATTCTCATTGGCCACTCGATAAAAACACGGATTAGAATCCATACCCCCTCATCAAAACACCCTCACAACCGCTGATTAAACTCATCTTTAATCCAATGTCCTTATTCATCTTCCCAATAATGAAACCTAATACGTAGTAAAAAAAAATCCCCTCAAAAAAAAAATAAAAATAAATAAACCTAATAAAAAAAAAAAAACCTAATCAAAATCGGCAAACTTTAACTCTGCTTCAATTTTTTTCATTCAAACCCTATAATCACGGTTATCCTCTTCAACTCTCCTTCAATTATAACTTTAATAGCACGGTTCATCACCAATTCACCACCCAATCAGGCGATCAGCAAGAACTCACAAGGAACGCGCCTCCGCTACCCACCAATACGCAGGTAATAATTGAACTTTGAAAACCCTTTTTCTTGTCTCTTCTTTGTGTTGCTAAATTTTGCTTGAATCTATAAAAACCCAGAAGTAAATTCTTGAATATAATGCAATTTTATGTAATTCCCACAAAATTTGGTAGTGAAAGTAAATTTTGGGTCTTTGAGACATAATGTCGAACAGGTGGTGTGCATATTGTATTAGATGTATACATGAATTCTTAGGTTTTAATTTGTGACAGCTTTAAGTGATAAATTAATTACATGTTTATAGCTTTAAGTGATAAATTTGGGTTGCTCAAAACAGGTTAGTCATTGTGAATAAGGAGCCCATTGCCGGAGAAGTGGTGCGGTATGCTCTCAAAACAGAGGGGTGGCAGCGTGTGTAGTTGTGTACAAGAGAGTGGTAGGTTGAGAGGGGGAGGGTGTTTGCTGGGATGTTGGGTGATGTGAAACAGAGAGCATTTGATTTTTATAGCTAGAAAGAGAATAGGTAGAAAAATAATATGTTGCATCATCTAGAAGTAATACAAAGGTGGGTTGTGGGTATGTAAAGTATGTCCAAGGAGAAATTAAAAATGATGTGATAAACTGATAAAAGTGATGATACCAATATTGATGAAGATGTTCTTGAAATTGGTAAAGAAGTGTCAACTGAAACTGATAGTGCAGCATCAAATTAGTATTTTTTTGTCTCTTCCACTTGGTGCCACTAACTTGCTGGTTATGCTCTTGTTTCTTTTTTTTTTCTTTTTTTTTGGCTTTTGCTCTATTTTTTTGCCATGGAATATTTATGATTTCTTATGTTAGTTATAGTTATGATTTCTTATTCACAATTTATTTTAGTTACTCCGTCTTTAATTTTAGGGGAAGAGATGTTTGCTTTGTTTTACACCGTGTTTTTTACTCTTTAAATTACTTCTTCCTAGGGAAGAGTTAGAGTTGCAATTGAGCAAGGCACGTACTTATACATCTGTTGATCTTGATGTACAGCTGATTTTTGGTTGAGGTTCCTGATGCATCTGTTTCTGCTGCTATTTTTGGTTGCTGCTACTCCACTGCCTTGTGGATGTTCCTCCTAGTGATTGAGTGTGGTTGCTGCTGCTGCTCGACTGCATTGTGGATAATTTTTGTTTTATATAATTTCTGCTTAGTTTTCTAAAGTAAATTTGCTAAGTGGTTGGTGTTTTTGTTTACTGATTTGTGGATCTTACTACTACCTAATAAACAGGTTACTATTGTCACAGGACTTCGTATAAATTCTATGGTTGATACACTCTTGTTTTGAGAGAATCTGATACTTGGGGACCTTGTGTTTTTGATCTGTCACCAAAAATGACAAAGAATTGCTTTATTTATCTACAATGAAAGTCTTAGAACTCTTTAAACTAAAGCTAATGAGAGCCATTCATTTGTGATTTAGCCTTTATCAGCCATTAGGCATTAGATTATTCAGTTATCAACTTACCATACATCGACAAAATTAATTTTTCATAGGTGATTTTATTAATATGTTACTAGTTTTGTTTCACCTCAAGATACTTTAGTTACACTTTACTTAGTTTCTCAATTTACTTTAGTTAGTCTCTCAATTAACTTTTTACTCTTACCAAGTTAATAAATTATGAAATAGTCATGTTGTCGTCTATTTACTAAAGTATCATGATTTGAGTGTTTTTTTTTTTTTTTAATTTTTTTTTATTATAATAAATATAATCTAAAGTTAGCTATAATTTTCAGATTTTTTAAATACAATATATATTATACAATATATATTATCCAATAAGCCATTACTCATAAAAGGAATTTATATAGGGTTAACGATTTGGTCATAATAGGTTATGGACTTATGGGTTATAACTTGATCAGTCATAATCGGTCACAGGTTGTAAACAGTTCGGTCATAACCGGTTATAGGTTGTAAACGGTTCGGTCGCAATCGGTTACAGGTTGTAAACGGTTCGGTCATAACTGGTTATGGGTTATAAACGGTTCGGGTTAATCAGGTTTTTGTCGGGTTTTAACAGTTTCGGTTTACACTAGGTCGGGTCATTATCGGGTTCGGCAGTACTCGGTTCGGGCTGTTCTCGGTTTCGGGTTGCATCGATTCGCTTGAAAAACGGGTACGGTTTCTTAACAGTTTTCAAACATTTGGATCGGTTCAGTTTCAGGTTTTATAAAATCAGGCCGGGTCAGTTTACGGTTATAACATAACGGGTTGTTAACAGTTCGGTTCCTTTTCGGAAGAGTTCGGAACAGTTCGGAGTCACCAGTTCGGGTCGGTTTTTGACAGCTCTTATTGGTGCATAATGAACATGTGTTATCTAAAGAGGTATATATCTCATGTCGACTTGTAGTTCATTATTTGCAACGTTATTTAATTTATAGTATAAACATGTACATTCATTCTTATTAATTGAGTTTTGATTGTTATTGTTTTGGTGATTGCAAAAATGTTCAACTTTATGTTATACACTTGTTAATGGTTATGCATTAGCAAAAAAAATAAAAAAAAAAATAAAAAAATAAAATAAAATCACCTTGTATGTTTGATGATTTTTTCCTTCCTCACATTATAATTGATTGTAATGAACTTGTAGTAGTAAAGAAATTCATATGAATGTAAAGTCTCACCAATTAGCCAAAACTCAATTTGTTTTTGGAATAATTATATACTCCCAAATAATGTGCACAACAATCCTAAACGAAATATTGTCTATTAATATAGTGTAGGGTCGTAGCCTCCGTGAGAATTGTGTAATGCGAGGTTAAGAGAGTACGAGATCCATCAATCCTTAAGCAAGGTGCCGAGATGACCTTTTGGTTGTGCCTAATTTGTTAATTTGTACATGTCACTTGAATATTTAAGGGGTCATATATATACTCAATTACTCAGTGGTCAACATAGGGTTACATTTTTATTTTTAAAAACAATAAAGAAGTAAAATGAAAATCACCTTCAATTACTTTGTTATGTGAAAAGAAATTAATACGAAGTACTTTGTGCCAGAAATATAAATTTATCTGTGTATGTAGTGTTATGATGAGAGTGCAAATTGTACTTTTATTTATTTATTTATTTTATCAGTGCTTCATAGTATGTGACAAGTGGCTAGTACTTAAATGTACTAAATGATTTTTGTAAAAAAAAAAAAAAAAAAAAAAAAGGACAAAAAATTTAAACGAGACACTTGTCATACAATGAGATTGAAAGTGAAATTTGTCCACTCACTCTTTTCACTCTTTGGTTATTTGAAAGTGATGAATCTCAACTTTGTTAAGAGTACCATCCATGAAACATAATTCAACCTCTATTATCCTCCTTTTTTTTTTTTTTTTTTTTTTTGACGCACTCTATCATCTGACACAACTTTATTGTCCTCTAACTTACTAAAATAGGTTTTATTAAAAAACAAAGAAAATAAATATTTTTATCTAATTAAAGCATATTTGTGTTATTTTTTGTCTAAAAAGTCTTAAATTTGTCATTTTGTGTTATTCAAACTTGTTTGAGCTTTTATTGTCTAAAATAAATCAAAATATATAAGCTAAAATATTTTGATCCTAATAGTTAGAGACCAAGTAAATACTCGCTAAGTTTAAAGAATTAAGTTAAGTCTATCAAAACTTTATGAGATTAAATTTTAAACTTAAAACTTGTTTGACCTTTTATTGTCTAAAATAAATCAAAATATATAAGCTAAAATATTTTGTCCTAATAGCTAGAGACTAAGTAAATACTCGCTAAGTTTGAAGAATAAAGTTATGTTTATCAAAACTTTATGAGATTAAATTTTGAACTTAAAATAATTGTTGCGCATTTAAACTTTGAACCAAATAAATGTAGATAAATGCTTTGATTAAATAAATTATATTTAAGTGATGATAGGATGTATATGTAATGGAAATTAATTAGTAGATTCATTTTTTGCTTTTTATGAATAAATCTTCTTATCTAAAAGATACAAATAAATAAATATTACAAGTTGGTGTGATTATATAATAAAATAGAAGTATATTACTAGATGATATCTTTAAACATGTAAACGGCACTTGAAATGTTTTAACATTTGTTAGCTTTGAGTTTTATGAATATTATGGACCATTTAAGACTTTATTTATTTATTTTTAGGACATATTAATCTTAAGCCTGAAATTCGACTCAACATCAAAGTAGTCTGTAAATTTTTTATTTATATTAAATCAATGTTCATATGTAACCAACTAGTAACCTCATATTTACAAGTCAAAGAAGGCGTTACCTTGATCCAATATGCAATTAAGCTACTTGATGTGTATAATAATGTAATTAGCCATATATAATATTAACCTAACTAGATAATCAACCACATGCTGATTACACTCCACCTACAAGAAAAAGGACAAAAAGCTTTGTGTTTTTTCTATGAGCATAAGTCTTTTTGTAAGTCTTTAGAGAGTTTATTAAGTTTGTGTTGTTTTTCGTTATTAAGTGTGCAGGGTAAACGGTAATATTTCAACCATTTTATAGGCCGATAATTCAAATCTATTGCTATTTTTTAATTGCACCTGAATGCATGTTAAGCCCTGGATCAATTCTTTATTTTTTGAAGGATGTATGACATATTCACATGCAATTCACACGTAACATCAATATATAGTTGATAATCGTGGCAAGAAATTGGTTGGCCTTTTCATTTTTGTTATTCAACAATTGTATAAACAGGAATAGATTATAATGACGAGCAAATCATGCATGTGATAAAAAGCAACTAAAAGTCTATTTTTAGGGGTTCACCCGATAAGTAAGATGAGAAATGCAAGAATTATTAATGCCCGAATTCGTGAAAGAAAGCTAGCTTAATTATCAACATGACTTTGTATTTTCTTTGTCCATGCCACCATGCAAACTCACAAGACTCTTTGATGGATATAAATCTTACCAATTTTTTCATGCCTACTTATTATTGCCTCCTCATTTGGTTAAGATTTCTTACTCAGTATTAGTTAGATACTATGTATATAGTATACTTGTACTTGTATAAGTTAAATAACGTTATATGAAGAATAAATGGATCTGAACAACCCTGTTAAGAAGGAGTTGTGGTTGCATAGTCGGTCTTCTAAAGAGCCTATAAGTTTCCTTTCCATAACCAAATGTTAACTTGATTAGAATTACTAATTGATTTTGTTTTTCTTCTTCTCCAATACGAGACGTGGACAATTCACTAGTGCATTCACAACTGAACATATAACACAAAATGTCAATAACTAATAATTAATATGATTTTTTTAGTATAGCTAATTAAGTGACAATAATTAGTGACATTAGTCATAACCTACATTATGAAAATTTATTCCTTTTGATTAAATTGACTCTCTCTCTCTCTCTTAGACTTATAGTTTATTTTATATATAATAATGTGAAAATATAGTCCTTGTCCAATCTAATTATTCATGCATGCTTTTAGATTTGAATTCCTTATAGGTACATAGTCCCTATCCAATCTAATTATTCGTATGATTTAGGTTTGAATTAATTCATACGGAGTAAAATTATATGTAAACTTAATAATACTAGTCTTCCTTTGATCCATAAATCCCATCAAAAATTCAATCAATTTTTATTATCAAAATTACTACGGCAGGAGTAATTATATTACTCAAATTAAAGCTTCTTGTATATTTATGTCAGATGACTCAAACCTTAAAAATACATAAAAAAAAATTAATGACAACTTCCTGGTTATGGTAATTTTACCTTATTAAACATATCACTTTATCTTTAATGTGAATGACAGAAAAAGTATATACACAACACAATGCATACACTTATGATATTAATGAAAATCATGCATATGCCATATTATTATTGCGGTCTTTCTCAACTAGACGAATTATATATTTCTATTTATGATAATTTTGTTATAGACGCATACCAAACATATTAAATTTTTTGTCGAACAATTCGCTACACGTTGAAGTTATACCAACTTATTATTAGAACATTACATGTAACGTGGCACTACTTAAAGCATAGACCAATAAATAAAAAAGAAATATACTTTGCATATACAATAATTATATATATATATATATAAAAGTAATATAACAAGTAATATAAAAGTAAATCCTTGTTGATGGAAAGCTAGGACCCGGGTATTAATCGATATGATCACAAGTTATTGGACAACGTAGTGCCAAAGGTAATCGCATGTTACATGAAATTTAAATTTTAAATTTGATATAATTGTTGATTTTAAATGAGTTATTAGAGATATTATAATTTGTTGAGAAATAAAATTATACTATTACTACTGTATGTTTTA